ATGTACTGGGGCTTTGGGGGGAAAAAATAAATAAATAAAATCTTTAAAAAAAAAAAAAAAGTGATCAATGGCGGGCCAGCCCGGTGGCATAGCGGTTAAGTGCACATGCTCCACTTCAGCAGCCCAGGGTTCACAGGTTTGGATCCCAGGCGCACACCGACACACGGCTTATCAAGCCATGCTGTGGCAGCATCCCATATAAAGTAGTGGAAGATGGGCACGGATGTTAGCCCAGGGCCAATCTTCCTCAGCAAAAAACAGGAGGATTAGCATCGGATGTTAGCTCAGGGCTAATCTTCCTCACAAAAAAAAAAAAAATTTTTTTAAAGTGGTCAGTAGCCACAAGTGTCTAGTGGCTTTCACATTAGACAAAGAAGCTCTAATCAGTAATTTATTTCAATTGCCTCCTAAATGTTTGTTCTGCCTCTAGCTTCTTTAGTCTCCAGGCCCACTGCTCCCAGCTTAGTCTTACTAAACCATTGTTGTGTTTATAATCTCTGTTTAAAAGATTTTGGTGGTTTCTTTACCTACAGAACAAAGTCCAAACAACTTAACATTGAAGGAGCCCCACCCTTTGGCATCTTTCCACTTTTCCTCATTACTTCCCATATGCTTGCATAACATGTTCTAGCAAAATAAATTTCACAGTTCTCCAGACAGACTTTACTCTTATCCAACTCTAAGCCTTGGCTCATCCTTTGTTTCTACATGAAATTCCTTCCCACCACATTTCTGCATATCAAAATCCAACCCAACTTGCACGGCTTAGCCCAAATGATACCTCCTCCTTAAAGTCTTCAGTAATTACCACAGTTAGCTATGAACCTTCTGATCTTTTATAATATGTCACTCTTAATGGCATTTATCACATACTTCCCTGTCTTAAAATTCTTGGTGTACGTGCTTTATAATCCCAACTAGATGAGAGCTATTAGAATGAGTTTGCATCTTCATATTCCCCCACAGTGCCTTTCACAGAGTAACACACACACACAAAATGTGTTAACAAATAATTACAATGGCAATAGCAACTTTGGGATCCTTTAAATACTAACATCTTTGTAGTAGACAATGTTTGGTATCTGCCCAGCTCACAACCATTCCCTCTTCTCCAAGAAATCCCCCACCCATCTGTAGATTAGGCCCCAACAGCCATGTTTGTACTTTGTAACCCCACCACCTTGGAATAGGACTCACTTCTCAAAGTGAGATGCCACGTCTCCCATGCAGGCAAAGGAACAGAGAAAGCTGGTCTGCAGAAAGACCCAAGAATGAACAAATGCACAGAGCCAAGCAGAAAAACAGTGCTTTTCCAGCCCTCCCAGTTCTGCCTGTTTCCATTCTTCGCTGGGGTAAACATTCTTGTCTTTGGGTTCCTTCCTGTAACATTAAAATACATTTCTTAAGTCTCCTCATCCCTTCTTTTTTTCCTAATGTAGCTTACATTGTCTTCTGCTACTTGGAACCAGAGTCTTAAGACAATAAAGATGGAGGCCAAGCCCTCATCATCAAGGCCACTTATCCTATCCTCTCCCATGATCCAATATCCTGAATTATAACTTTCCTACCATAAGGGCTCAGAGCCCATTTCTCAAGGATCCTCAAATTTCAGGCAACTAAAGAGACTAACATGCACAAAGGAAAAATTGTCTACCTTATTTTGGCAGATGGAGGCTTCTGCAGAACTTTCTCTATTGTGCTCCGCTTTCAGAATCCCTGTCACCGGTCATATTCACTGAAAGAGAACACCAGTCTACATTAATGAAAGAGTGAAATTTGTTGTTTTAATGAAATACTGTTTGTATTACTCTCAAGTCCCGTTGCACAGTGACTTAAATGAATGGCTTATGAGGTGTCATCAAAAGGTCGTTATGGGACCTGTACCAATGAATAAATGAGGATGCTTAGTTATTAGTCACCAATGTTTGCAGGTTAGAGGGGTGCTACTCAAATTCTTCAAAGATATTATGTTACTTTAAGTAGGCCAGACATCTCCCCAGCCAATCTTCTTCATCCAATTAATTATCACAGCAAAAGCAGTTTTCTTAACTCTTCTCTACCTCAAGGCCTTTGTATCTGCTATTCCTTCTTCCTGCCTGAAGAACTCCTTCCCCCACCCCAGCCCACCCACCTTCACTCTTCATTCTTCTGGCCCTTCTCAGCTTAAATGCTCTCCCTCAGAGAATCCCTCAACACTGCCCTCTCTAAGTACACGTGGCTTCTGCCCATTCCCCATTTCTTTCCCCTCTACTCCAATTGCTTTTTTTTTTTTTTAATTTTTATTTATTTATTTATTTTTCCCCCAAAGCCCCAGCAGATAGTTGTATGTCATAGCTGCACATCCTTCTAGTTGCTGTATGTGGGACGCGGCCTCAGCATGGCCGGAGAAGCAGTGCGTCGGTGCACGCCCGGGATCCGAACCCCGGGCCGCCAGCAGCGGAGCGCGTGCACCCAACCACTAAGCCACGGGGCCGGCCCACTCCAATTGCTTTTAATCAACTTTATTGAGGTATAATCTACTTTATATAATAAAACACATCATTTAAGTGCACAGTTTGATGAGTTTTGATAAGTGTAACCACCATCACCACAATCAAAAACTTTTCCATCACCCCAAAGTTTCCCTTGTTACCCTGCTGGAGCATTCCCCACCCCTGGTCCCAGGCAACCACTGATCTCATTTCTACCTCTATAGGTTATATTTGCCTTTTCCAGTGTTTCATATACATGGAATCATTCAGTATATACTCTTTGGAGTCTGGCTTCTTTTTCTCTGCATCGTGTTTCTTTTTTTGTGTGTGTGTGAGGAAGATCAGCCCTGAGCTAACATCCATGCCCATCTTCTTCCACTTTATGTGGGATGCTGCCACAGCATGGCCTGACAGGCGGTGCGTCGGTGCACGCCCAGGATCCGAACCCAGGCCACCAACAGCAGAGCACACGCACTTAACCGCTATGCCACGGGGCCAGCCCCCTGCATCATGTTTCTGAGATTCATCCATGTTTTTGGTGTATTGGTAGTTTGTGCGTTTTTATTGCTGAGTGTTACTCCATTATAGGAAAATACCTTACTTTGTTTATCCATTCACCAGCTGGTGGACATGGGGGTTGTTTCTAGTTGTTGGCTATTGTGAACAGAACTGCCATTAAATTTGTGTACGAGTCTATCTGTGGACACGTGATTTCATCCCTAGGAATGGGTCATATGGTAAGTATTTATGAGAAACTTCCTCTCATTTATTCTTTATCATAGCTCCCTTCAAGAAACTTAAAACGCTTTTTCATTGTATACTTGTTTATTTTCTCATTTCACACCCCTCTCTCCACTAATTGCAATTCCATGATACAGAGACCCTGCATCACTAGTTTGTCACTGTGCCCAGAGAGCCTAGCACAGTGCTCTTAATGAATTTTTTTGATTGAATAGAAGAAAAATCAAATTGGCTTCTGCCTGAAATATCTTGAATTTGAAATCAAAGTTCTCCAAATGAATGAGGCCTTAACTATAAACCCCAAGGAATCTAATAATTTGTAAAAATATCTTCCAAAACACCAATCAGTACTGAAGGACGAGGTATGCAGAGTGACCTAACCCTCCTGGAGACTGCAAAAGTTGGAGCAGCTGGGGTTCTAGGAAGCTAACGAATCAACCTGTCAGATCCATGGAGCCACTGAGCTCCTGTCACATGCACAACTATCGTATGGCACTGGGGATGGCCCAAAGCATGGCCAGAGAAGACAGCTGCCTCTGTGGTACAAGGCATGGATACTTCCCTCTCCATAGGAGGAGGAATGTACTATCTGATTGGTAAATTTGAAAGAAGGAACTGGGCATGCTTGGCCCGGCCCTAACTCCCTCCCCTGTGGGTGTCAGGGGCTTGTGGGGTGTGTGCTTTCTGGTCTGCTAGCTGCCACCTGGTAAGAGGCCCACCCCCGTAGGAATCAGGGGGAGGCCTGAAATATACAGAACGACTGTGAACAGGTGGACAAGACTGTCAAATTCAAGACTTGAGCACTCAGCCATAGACCTAAAACCACATTCTCCAACCAGCTTCAGAAGTTTAAAAAGATGGTATTTTGATCACTATCTAACTCCTGTCTCTCAGAAAAATAGAAAGGGGTGTGATGCTTTAGGCCCATAAACCTCAACACTCTCTTCTTACTGTTTCTGGAGCTTAACCTCAAGGAGAAAAACAGCTGGGTTGTAAACACCTTGAGAGGAGGAGCCGTGGCTTTATCATCTTTATATACTCTCATCCAGCCCAATAGACATGTGATTGGCACACAGTGGGCCATCAGATGTAAAAGCAGAACTAACTCCAGATAAGGTAATTGGAGCCCGAGCTGTAACACGGCACCAGGCTGCTCTAAATTTGAAGTCACCTGATACCAGGAGCCAGCTTGATAAGGAGCAGGTTAGTGATGGTGGAAGAATTCTTCAGAACAAGCAGGCTTCTGGAACAGTAGTTCTCAACTCAGGCTGCACCCGGGAACCACCTGGGGAGATTTGGGGGTGGGGGGGGGAAGATAGCCAGGCTACATCTCAGACAAATGAAGTTGGCATCCCTGGGCGTGGGACCCAGGCATCAGAAGCACTTAACACTCCCCAGGTGATTCCAATGTGCAGTCATGATTGAGATCCAGTGTTCTAGGCTGGCCTTGCTTTGGCATAATTAGCAGTTTGTAAGAAATGGAGAATCTCAGGCCCCACCCCAGACCTGCTTTATCTGCATTTTTAGCAAGAGACCCAGGTGATGCATACATGCATTAAAGTTTGGGAAGCACTAGTTTAGAATATAGGCTTGAAGTCAACCAAACCTTGCTTCTAATCCTGGCTGCACCAGATGAGTGATTTGGGGCAAGCTGCTTAACCTAGCTAAACCTCAGTTGAATAGACTATGACAGGTCCACACAATGGAACACTATGCAGTCATCAAAAGGGATTTGTAATATCTTCATATATTATGGAGTGATTCCCACAATATTTTAACTGAAAAAAAAAATATAAACATATACATTGTCTGTTTTAATAGAAAGATAAAACTTAAAAAATGGGCTTTGGGGAAAAATTAAATAATTATGTGGACCATTAGCATTGTTTCTGGCATATAGTAAGTGCTTAACAAATATCAGCTATTGTTCCTTTGTTGATGCAGTTACTAGCTGGTAGCTCAGAGAAATGATGGGGGTGCCATGGCTCTGTGGTTTCAGCAAGGCACTTAGGGAAGTCTCAGGACACAAAAGAAAAATGTGGGCTTCTTAACCTTTTATTATGGAAAACTTCAAAAATGTACAAAAATCAAGTATCATGAACCCTCATGTTCTGGTCACTCAACTCCAACAATATTCAATTCACAGTCTTTCTTGTTTCATCTTTCCCCCCACCCCTTCCATGCCTCAGTGGATTATTCTGAAGTAAATCCCAGACATATCACTTCATCATAAATACTTTAGTACGTACCTCTAAAAGATAAGGACTCTTTTTTTTAACACTCTCACAGAATCATTATAACAGTTTAAAAAATTAGTAGTAATTTCCTAAGTATCATTAACTACTTGTCAGTGTTTAAATTTTCCTGATTATCAATGTTTTTTTTACAATAGTTTTGCTCAAATTAGTTTCCAAACAAAGTCAACATATTGCATTTGATTGCTTTGTCTCTTAAATCTTTTTTAACCAAAGATTTGTCCTCCATTTATTTTTTCTTGCAATTTATTTATTGAAGAAACCGGGTTGTTTGTCCTGAAGAATTTCCCACATTCAGGATGTGATGACTGCACCCTTGAGTTTAACTTGTTCTTCTGAACCCTATAGTTGTTGTAAACTGATAGAGCTAAAGACTTGATTAGACTCAGGTTGCTTTCTTTAAAAGAATTCTTCATAGGTGGTGCTATTTACTTCCTGTTCATCTTATCAGGAGAACAAGAATATCCTAGTTCATAACATTAACTACTTATTTGCATTATTATCTCTTTTTGAGATATTAAGATTGGTCAGTCGGTTCAGGAATCATCAGACTGGTCCATCTATTATAAAGTTCTCCATCAGCTTTTTACTTACTGGTTTTAGCAACTATTGGTGATATTGCCTAATGGTGATATATAAATTATTTCATTAGGGGCTATAAAATTGTGATATTCTAATTCTATTGTCTCTTCTGCACTTAATTAACTGGGATTCTCTCATAAAGAAGAACCTGCCGTCATCACTCTTTGGTATCCTGAAGTACAACTTGTATAGAGAAGGCAGGATTGATTTTCTTTGTTGACCAGTTTTCAGAATGAATTGGTTTCCTAGCATCTTCTAGAAGAAACTAATGATTTATTTTCTTTTTAGTATTATTATGGACTCATGCATTTTTAAAATGTATTTGATGAATTTCAATCCATTGGAGTCACTCTTCTTTTTGATGTTCAAATTATCCCACATTCGGCACATGGAAGTCTTTCAGATCTACTGCTTAATAATTTATTTATTTATTTTTATTTGTTTTTTTTTTAAAGATTTTTGTTTATTTTAATTTTTTCCCCCCAAAC